GCGAGCAACCATTAGTTACCAAAAACCAAACGAACGAGAACTCGTTCCTGTAGGGCCCAATTTGTCGATGTTTTGCGGTCGCTAGATGGGCCATGCGTGCCATAACGATGGTCGGTGTGCAATCACTGAAACCTGCGTTCAAATCACAAAAAGTTTTCAGCTGTTATGCCTGATTCCACAGAATTTCACACGCCCAAACATTATCTGGGTTTCCCAAGCTGCCGCTAATAAATACAGGATTCCGTTATTTCTTATGTGTAATTGGGCCCGTTCGGAACGAAAAACCAGACCTGCGAAACCTGTTCAACCAATATCACTCCAGAATACTTATAACTGTCCTTGTAGATAAGTTTTGGTGCAAAAGTAGCCATGTAAACTAGGAACTTAAACCAGGCGACAATTCATCGCGGAATGGCAGAATTTCTTTCAGTTGAGTCCTCTATTGTATATTTACACGCTAACTTACCCCACGCTGCACAATTTTACGGATAACCATCCTTTCCCCTATTTTTAGTAATTTTAACATGGAACACTCTATCAAGAAACCTTAGGATCTACGCAGTTGAGGGGATTCGGCAGGGAGCTCTCGCCTTCGACGTCAGACCAGGTGATTATGTAACATCACGGCTAGAATTGGCGAAGTCAACTCTTGCAAAGGAAAGACTTTCTTTTTCAGTGAGCGATTTGGCTATTCTACCCGTGATTACACTACCAAAAACCTGGGCTTTCAAACGCTCTATGCCGGGACAAGTTTCTCAAAATCCGAGCAGGAAAAAACCCTAAGCTTGTTTGCTCCTGACCGACGGAAAAATCATACATACGGATTGCGATGCCCTATGGAACTCGAAAACCGTCAATCAAAACACATACAACGTAATCCTGCTCTAGTAAACAAAAACTAAAAAAGAAGGTAGCTAAAGAAAATAATTTAAAAAAATGATAAAAAAAATGTTACGGAAATGATGAAAATTCTATTAGGTTGTCCCATAATTAGTGAATCACTTTACATTTATCGTTATTAAAAATCCAAGAAAATTGGTGAAGGCGTGAAACATGTTTTGCGAAGTAGCATCCACATTGTCCTACTTGAGCAATTACTCAGCCCATTTCCATGCTGCCTTCCGTGGCTGACATTTCAATTTTTCTGGAACCTATTTTTGAGCTCCCTTAATCACTTCTGATTAAGATCTTTCAAACGCCCAACAATATAGAGAATCGACCAGCAGATAGGCAAGGGCACGCTCCCTCACTCCACGGTCTGCTTATAGTTCACTCTATCGAGAGGTTGGCTTTTTTAGTTGAAGATGACCCACACTCCAACTACCCCTCAACTGGCAATCTCAGTGCTATACCCAGCGCCACTAAGCGTGAATATGGACGAACTAGCCGCCTTTTGCTAGAGCATGCCCGACTTGTTAAAATAATGGAATGTAGACATCTACGTAGAGTTGTAACGATTTTTAAAATATTTAATTTGTATCTCGTGTGCTTTGAGCTCGAAACAGCTCCGCACACGATCTGACATCGTCATGTTCCTTCTGATCTCCCTTAGTTCCTTACAGTGATCATCCAGCTTATTCACCAGGGTTCTGGACTGCGTGAAGTGTACTAGCAAATCTCCGAGGAGCAGTAGCCCAGCGTGAACGATTCGGGAGTTCTGATAGCAAAAGCCAAACCTCATTCTAGTCCGACCCTTCAGAGATATTGGTGGAGCACGAGAGTGACCATGCGCTGGGAACCGCCGCCTAGTAATACTAGAGTCACTGAAGAAGATCAACATCTACAGCGTAATGGCGGCGCATTCAATTTGAAAGTAAAGCAAGACAAAGTCTGCTTTTTTCCTGAGGTCGTTCGACCCACCTTGCGGAGAATATTCATAAAAAATTAGAGACTCTCAAGCTAGCCGATCTTCCACTTCCTCTGTGTGGCCCTATCCTCGTGCCAACAAGAGGCAACTCAGTTTGACCTCTAGCGCTCTTCCCCAGGGAGGAATTTTACGCTAAGTGACATGACCTCAAACTCGACTTCCGATCTTTCTTCGATCAATAGCTCCTGGATTTCTAGAGATAAGACAGCGACAAAATTTCCCTGTATAGGCAATACATTGTAGATGACAGGGATGTATGTTTGGATGAGCAAAGACTCCATATGAAAAAAGAAAAAAATTTGAATTCAAAAATACCCAAAGTGATTCACTAATTATGGGACAACCTAATATTTCCAAAAACCACTGATTGAAGAATCATTAAAGTGCGACTTTTTGAGTGCAGTAGCCATTGCCTCGAGGAGATTAATGCGTTGATTGTTATAAGGCGCTCGATCCCTTTTGGGCAATCGATTTAATAGATGGGATAAGATTGCTTTGAAAATGCGGCTGTTTGTTGTACGGATATTCATGCGAATAGATATAGGAATCAGCCAGAAGTGGAGGCTCGTCGCTTCGTATGACATCATGAGCGTGCATGACAGGCGAGCTAAAATGAGCAGACGGTGAAAAAAAGTACAATAAATCGCCGGCTGTTCGCCATTACGAAAAGCGTTATGGGAGGGTCCTGAGAGAACTGCGAAGGCGACGTGAGAGAAAAAAAAGAGTCAAAAGCGGCAAAGTGAGTGCCAAGTGGCGCTATCTTAATCGAAGCGGACCCTGGGACTAGTATAATTGGTGAGGACGTGGAGGGAAAATGAAAAATGTTGCATCTGGTTTATTCTCCGTCACACTTAAAACTTGTTCAACCCCAGAAAATCGTTTTTGAAAAAGAACAGGGTTTTCGCGTTTTTAAAAGCATGCTACCGCATCGCCCTTTATTTGCGATGTGCCGAGATTTTGGCACTGAAGTTCTCCCAATATATATCATTTATCACACCCGTTTGGTTTGCGCATCAAGTAATGCTCCAAATATGTAACAATTTCCAAGGTTCACTACAAAATGAACTGTGTGAGGAGTACGGACCGGCCAGAATTCTCGAAGTTCGGCCTAGAGGTAATGTGCAAAAAAGCATCGATTTGTTCTGGAAACAAATGTGCACCCGGCGATGGGCATTTGGTTGAGCGATACCATAAAAGGTTCATGAAATGTAAGAGCTTTGAGTCGAATGATGGTTACGGAGGAAACAAATGTTAGTCCAATACGAAACACATAACAACTGGAAGCCACGCTTCGCTTTTGTGAGAGTTTTCTCAAGCGTCAACAATCACGTACGGAAAGAAAGACGTAACACACAAGCTAGGGGCGGACAACGGGCGCGACGCACAAGAACCACACGAAGAGGCTGGCGGGTGCCCGGCCGCCGGCACTTTGGCAGGGCGGCGCAAGTCCGGCGCACCGCGCCTGCGCCAACGCGGTGCACCGCCACGGGACGCAGCACGCAATTGACCCCGTCGCGATTGCGACAGCTTCTGCAAATCGTAAAGTGGTCTCATTTTTCCATAGCAAGTATAAACGTGACCTCTTTTGATTCTGGACGTCAAAATAACCCATATACGGGTTCTACGGCCTCATATTTTCATGGTCGCTAAGAGAGTTTTTCAAGACCTCGCTGAACTTTTGTGGAGTTGTCGATGAGTTTTCTCTTTTCCTCAGAGTATTTTTAAACTTATGCTTGAATTTATTTTTTGTGCATCATAGCTTTATCTAGGGGTATGATTCCATCGATGTCAACGGTTTGAGATCTCACAGTAGAATGTTATCCACCTTTTTGGTCACACTGCACTAGCCTTATCTTTTTTTCCCATTCGAGTTCTATTTGAAGGGTTTTGTCCACGTTGCCATTCTTAAACCATTACATCAGAGAGTTTGGAACTTGAACGGTTCCTTATTGATTATGTTAAAATTTCAGCAGGACTGCGAGCCGAACCGCACAGTTTCTAGAATTGTTGAGTAGCGTGCCGAAATGTAAGAAAAAGCTTATGTGCACAATTCAGCGGTATATATACTCTCAAACAGTGTTGAGATAATTTTATGGAGTCTGTTGATAGGCTACAGAAAATGCCTTGAATTACGGGGGTCCGACTAGGCCCAAGTTAACCATGGTCTCGTTTTCTTTGTTATAGGTGAATTACTCTGAATCTGTCTTGGAAAAGAACCACGACTAAAAATATTGGATGACCATCGCAGGCTGATTAGGAGTTGGAAATTGTTGATCATTTCAAGGAGATGAGCACATTTGATCTTTACTTGACCGCTTTATCCAATTTATTTCCAAGGCATGATGGAAAGAAGTAGGATGGAATTGAGCATTCGACGATCCATTTTGGCATGCGCCACACGTCATTCCATTGAGAAACGTGCTGGCTTTTGAGTACATTTGGGCCTAAGCAATGAATTGTGATGACGGCTCAGTACAAGAAGTCAGTGTATCTAACCTTCAGACGAGTCGGCCACTAACTAGGCTACCGGATCCTTAGTTGGTCTAGTACTCGGTCCTGAATCTGACCCTCAGATCGTGGGCCTTCTTGAAGAGTATTTGCTTTCATACCTCCTCCTTACCGCAGACTTAAACGTAAGTATGTAAGTTTAAGATATTTGACAGTGTAATACTAATTTTTACTAGTTTGAGAGCCTTTCCTAATCTTTACATGTTGTTTTAACCTTTCGCACTTCATTTTATGATTTCCTGAGTCTATTCCAATAAGGAGGGGCATTTCGAGCTCTAGAGCACCAAGTGTTGAAACTCTTGTAAACATATTCATTATACATACTCAGGAGAACTTATAATCACCTAATTTAATCGCTTTCCACAAGAACGATAGTCCATCCATCTCGGAGGTTTTTCCTGTAAAAATTGGGACAACTTGAGTTTGAACTGTTGCACGAGAATGCCCTATTCCTCAGCTTTATGGACCAACCTTCATACTAGTTTAATGGCTAGATTTCTTGGCATAAATTTGTCCGGCGTTGACTTCGCCCACTCTCTCACTATTGCTTTTACTGCCGTTCGTCTTGTTTAATATTCCATTGGTTGAACTGATTTCGGAAGTCCACTTTTAGAAGAGATCCAGCATGGATCCGGAACTCTTACGTCAACGTGCTGCTTTTCAAAAACATGCTGCCAGAACGGTGTCAGTACAGCAGCGTTCTCAAATACAGTTGGTACGTCGCTTTTGTAAGACTTTTTTGACCCAAGACCACTGTTTTCTCATTTCCAACGAGTAATTCTGCTGTGTGACCATTCCATTCATCAATTTCAATCTTTAGCCGTCTCCTTCAGCCAGTCACACGACTTACAATGCAGAAGCAGCGAAGAAAAAGAAGAAACCAGTAGTGCAGCAAAATTCGAAACGTGAGTTTATTTCAGTTGAACTCTTTTATATCTATGATGTATTTCAAAAAAGGTTAGGCAAGAGGTCAGGTGGTTTTCACGCTCCAGAATTCGACTTCAAGACTACGGTTTCCCATAGCAATGCCGCTAATTTCGGTACCATGGCAAAAATCGTGGACTACATGAAGGTACTTTCCTCTCCTTGTTTTAATTTTCACAAAACAAAGCCGAGTTTTGACTTTTATGACTTACGTAAGTGGCGTATTCTTAACAACAACTCCTGGTCTCTTCGTCTTGAAATCCTTCAAAACCATGCTTTCCTCTATTGAAATACTATTTGCGATTTCTCGGTGACTGCCGTTCGTACTTCAATCTAATTTCAATTAAATTTATCGCAAATTTCAATCCCATACAAATTCGTTCTAGTATGCTGCCGTGCACTAATAACGCAGTATGTTTTCATGGTGATCGACAGAGAGAAGAATCAGCTGTACATTCTGTTTTAAGAAACGACATCTGAGTCAGCAACAGTGGCCATTGTCTTTACAAGAAATTTTGGACGAATTGCAAGTGTACGATCTGCCGAAAAGGTCGGAAGCCTGGCTGAGAGAGGTATGAAATGAAGTCCTTCCATATTTTGATTTTTGATTGCCATTTATTGATATTTTGCCCCTCATTCTTTTCAAGTACTTTTATCCTTTAGTGGTGTATTTCATTACTGAATTATTATCCACCTGTGTTCTTTACTACTTGGCTCTAATTCCTGTCATCACTTCTTGTTCTCTCATTTGTCACTGGTAGTCCAGCGCCTTTCATTCTGACATTTTCATATCTAGTCATTGTAATCATAACTCTTGCAATTCTGCGCGATATCTATCTAATTTGTGAATTTATGTTTATTCGAAAATTTGCTTAGACTGCGTTCATACTTTGCGCTAGCAGAAAGACCCAAGCTACCCTTTCAACTGTAAGCGATTAGGAGTC